TGAAAGACATAGAGCCACTCGGCCTCCGCAGCCCGAAGGAAACTGTTCCATTTGTCCTGCGCAGAGGCGTTAGGATCAGAACACAAAGCGGCTACGGGCTCCCACCTACCCTCGACGGGGGGCCCCAGACACGACACCCATTGGGGCGCTCCAGAGGGAACCGTTTGGGCACTTGAACGAACTTGACATCAGCAACGTGCTCAATACGTGGGAGGACGAGCCTGACAAGGTAAGGGGGGGGGGGGGGGGGGGGGACGTCTTGAACGATTTCAGCCCTGGCCGCGCCTGCAGTGACCCTCGAGGCGATGAAAAAGTCGATGCACCTCATGGCTGGGCGGCACGTGCCGCCAGCGGGAGCAACGATGACTGCATCCATGGCGTCGACCCAGCCAGTCAGCTGCAGGTCAGTGCGATGTCTATTCCAATCGCCACCGATGACGAACGCCATGCCTGCAGCCTTGAGGGCCCTGCCGACGCGGCACAATATGTCCCAGTTAACCTCATTCACCCCGACGGAATGCACCAAGTAGAGATTCACAACCAGGAACCCACCTCGAATCATCCCTCCCACATAGTGAAGACTGGCACGCGCAGGCTGCAGCACAGGAGCGACACTCTCGAGCACGCCGAGACCAATCCTCTTGGGCGTGGCCGCGATCGGCCCGCCAGTGGGGTTGCCGAGCGTGGGCAATGCGGCCGTGAGAGAAGCTGACCAGCCAATCTGACGAAGGCGCGCCTCAGTCGGCTCCACCGACGAGGCAGGGATCCTGGTCTCCTTCACGAGGAGAACGTCGTTTGCAATACACTCACACAAATACGCGTCGAGTCCAAGCTGGCCTCCGACGTTGGCGGTGATCAGGGTCCATTCCTTGGCCTGACCAGCGCTAGGATCTGGGCGGGGACCTGCTGGACTCGTCATCTCCCTCACTGAAGGGAGTGAGCCGAAACTTCTTCTGCGCTGCAACATTGATACCTCCAATAATGTTCTCCGCATGCTTGCGCGGAATCTTATGCTGGGCAAGGAAGGCATTAAACCCTTGCTCAGTGGAAAGCTTCTTGATGAAACCTGAAAACACACGAGCCGCGGGCGGCGGGCCTGCACTGGCCGCTGCAGCCCCAGTCCCATCCCGCCCCCGTCCCAAGTGCGAGCCCGTCCCCCCTCCACTAAGCGGGGCAGCAGGCGAGGCCCCCGGTGCAAACGGGGACTCAGAAGGAGGTCGGCCGAAAACTGCCAGCGCGGCAGCCTCCGCATCACGAACGTTGGCCGGGGCAGGTTCAGCACGTGCTTCTCCAGGCGGGGCGCCCTCCATGGCGTTGCCGTCGCCACTGAGGTCGTCCAGTTCGTCGGACTCGTAGCCGTCAACAGTGGCAGCCTCATCATCAGGGTGAGCAGGAACCAGAAGCGAACCACGCGTCTCCAGCAATGACCGTAGAGAGCGAGCCAAGCCCGCGTTCAAGGACTGGAACTGCATGAGCAGAGCAAACGCGGGGTCGTCGGCCGACACCGCAGCGCCCGAGGTATCGACAGCACCCGCACCACCAGCGGCACACTGCGCCCATGCCGCTGAGGCCTTCGCGGAGGCGACTCGCTCCTGACCTTCGAGCGACGAGAGGTTGTCCTTGAGCTTGACGAGCTCCAGGACCTTGCTCTGCGCGACGGACTCGACCTTCTCGATCTGCTTGGAGACGTGGGCGATCTGCTTCTTGAAATCGTCCAACAACGACTGCGCATGACGCTGAACAGCACGAGGGTCACCAGCAGCAAGGGCGCGCTGTGCCACGACCCGAGCGCGCTGGGAGGGCGATAGGAGCCCTTTGCCCACCTCGAAGTCATCGTTGGACATGCGCACGATCTTGTCGACCTGCGCGGGCTCGAGCAGCTTGTGCTTGGGCCGAGTGGCTGCTGAGCGAGGCGGTCCGTCCGCCTAGGCACCTTGCGGCCCACGCTGTGGCTGCGCAGGAGCTGGCGCAGGAGGGCGCGCAGCACCGCGCTTGTAGCAGAACTGCTTCCACGAGCAATTCGTTTTGAAGCCGCACTTCTTCTTGGGGCAACACCGCGCCTCATTGCGAGCACCGGCACTGCGCTCGCCCATGAATGCGACGCTGGATATGAAAGAATCTGCACGGCCTGGGCAGGCTCGAGCAGGAGATCGCACAAACACTAGCTCACTGTAAGCCACCTCGAAAAATGGTTTACTTGAGCCAAAATGGCTTGAGCCAAAATGGCGACGGATCTCCTCCTCCTCCTCCTCCTCCTCCGGTTCCTCCTCCTCCTCCTCTTATCCCTTTTCCTGGTCCTCTTCGCGGCGTGACGCCCGGCCTCCGCCACCTCCCGAGGGCGGCAGCCCTGCGTGTGCCCAGCGGGGCAGCGTCGTCGTTGTCGGAATCGTCGTCGTCGGCGTCGCCGTCGTCGTCGCTGCGCTGTTGTGAAGGTGGGGGCCTCGCCGCGATGGGCCCCGCCCTGGAGCCCTGGGCGGAGTCAGCTTCCACCACAACGGCAGGACCACCTCCCGAAGGGCAGCTCGGAACCCAGAGTTGCGAGAATGCCTCAGGCGAAAGAGGCAGAACCACCTCTCGAGCGGCATCTCGGAATTCGGAACTTCGAGGATGTCGCAGGCGAAACGGGCCGGACCACCTCGCAAGCGGCATATCAAAGCTCGGATTTACAAGGATGTCTCAGGCGAAACGCTCAGCCCCGGATCACTCAGAAACGAGAATTGCGAGGCGTCTCAAGCGAAACGGCCCCGACCACCATATTGTTTTGAGGGTGTCTCGGCCTTTACCTCACCTGGCAGGAATTAACTTCTACCGCGAGAGAACCCGTTTCAACAAACTGTTTGGGGGCAGAATGAAATCACAAATGGGGAACCGCGCGCGCAAATTCATTCCCCCCCCGCTGACGGGCAGCGCCGTCGCTTCTACATTGAAAGAAAAAGAGAAACAACAAACAAAAAGATGAACAGAAACAACGAGAAAACAAACGTTAGGGAGAAACCTACGTACACACACACACATATATATATATATATATATATATATATACATATGTATATGTATGTGTATATACATATATGTGTGCATATATATATATATACACACACACTAGAACCACGCGCGCGCCTTGCGCGCGCTTAAGTTCTAGCAGGCCCCGGGCCTCGACAACTTCACAGCACCGCTGAAGTAGTGTTCCTCGTGGGGCCTTTGGGGGTGTCTGGGAGCCCACAGCTCTGTCGGGGCTCCTGTCTGGGCCCCCTCTTGGAGCCGCGTCGGGGGCCAGATGAACCAAATTCCAGGAAGGCCTTCCGGGAACATGATTTTTGGAACTGTCTGGGGGTGGTTGCTTGGGGCGTGCTGTGGTCGTCGTCGCCCCTTGGGGAGCCATGTTGGGGGCCGGACTCATCTTGTTCCTGAAAAAAGCCTTCTGGGAACATGACTTCGTGTGTGTGTGTTGGGGGGGGGCTGCTGGGGGCATTCCGTCGTCGTCACCTAATGGAGAGCTATGTCGAGTGCCTTCTGAACGATTTTCCCCGAGGTCCTTGCAAGAAAATGATGTTGTGGAGCGTCGTGGGGGGTGCTGGGGCATTCCGTCGTCTTCCCTGGGGGCCCCTTGGGGGCCTCTTGGGGCTTCCGGGGGAACTCTTGGGAGCCCCACGGGGCTTCTTGGGAGCCTTTTGATGGCCTGTCCTAGAAGCCTCTCAGGCGGAAATCTTGAAATGTCCCGTTCTTCGGGCCCTTTGGTCGCTCTTGGGGCTCTCTTGGGGCGCTCTCGAGGCCCTCTTGACTTATCTGTGTTCAACGCCTTTTCCCCGGAGAGTGCTGGGGCGACGAAGACAGGAGGCGTGTGGATCGTCCACGCAACCCACGCAACCACGCAGCGAAACGCAACAGTTCAAAAAGAGGCCTTGGGCTGGCGAGGGCAGAAGCGATGGCTACAGAGCGCGAACAAGCGGGCGTCTGCGTGGAACAATCCCGTGCAACTACTATGTTCAACACTTTTTTCCCAGGAGTGCTGGGGCGACGAAGACAGGAGGCGCGTGGATCGCCCACGCAACCCACCTACATCCGAAGAGCCCGCCGCCGAGCAATGCCCTGGAACACCGCATTAAATTCCACAGTCGATGGGCGCGCAAGGCCAGGTAACTGCGCGAGAACTCTCGTGCCAGCGCAGCGCAGAGACGTGGGGGGTAAGCCGACTTAAGCTGGGTCAAGAAGCCAGCTTTGGCCTTGCCAGAAAGCACTACATGCGGCTTACCTGCGAACGAACAAATACCACGGCCTGTGCAACGCCATCGCAACAACTCTGAAGGCACCGCGAGATTAGCCAAGGCCATGCGGGTGCGAGCACGAAAGGGGCGCCCCGCCCCGCAGTAGTCAAACACTATTTCGGTGGTATTGGCGCGGTTGCAAAATCGCTTGCGACTGGATAAAAGCCAGAGAAGACTCGAAGCGGGGTTCCCTTCTCCAGCAGGCAGCTGGCGAGCGATCGCAAGCTGTAAAAGCGACGCGATTCTGTCCGCAAGTTTGTTAGAATCTAGCACAGCTTGACGATCGGCACCCTCGAGGCCAGGGAGGCCGCGAAGGTGATCCCTCGCACGAAGGCGGCGAGTCATGATACTGCGCGGCGGCGCTCGACGTGCCTGCGACCATTTCTCGCAGGGACTGCCTGAGAACGCACCCCAAATGATGCCCGATTCGAGCCAGCCCCGCAGGACACGAAACACATCATCATGTAACAAGTCGCACTCTGGCCCGAGCAACCGATCTATCGAAACAACCGCATGGCCTTTCTTTTTTGCGTGCAGCAGCTAGCCCGCCCGAGCCAGAGAAGACATCGAGCAGGGCTCTTCGCTCCCCGAGCCTGCTCTCGCGCAGGGCGGCTCGAAGGCGCTGCCGAAGAGCTGCGGGGCGGCTGCTGCCCAGCACTCGCAACTGGCTCTCTGCGGGTCGCTGGGGCTTCGGATGGCCACAGCCAGCCGCCCCGTCTTGCCGTATCACGTGACTCACGAGGCGGCGCGCCACATCTCCCTCCGTTGTACCTCCAGCAGCGATCGACTGCCCTCCGCGCGGTCGCGGGCTGCACTTCCGTGGCGGAGGCAGTGCGGCGTGAAGCCCAAACCGTCGAGCTTGAGCTGCTGCGAGACAACAGGGAAATCGGCTAGGAGCTGCATGTACGAGTGGCGAAACAGCGGTTCGTCCCCCCGAAGTAGCGACTGCAGGCGAAGCGCGGCACGTCCAATCCAGTGATGTCGTGGCAGGACGCACGCAACTGTCGAGTCGAACTCCAACGCCAGCGCCAGCGCCCGTGGCAGCGGCGGTCGGGAATGCCCAGGCTGTAAGCGCGCCCAGCTTGCCCGCGACAAGCGCGCCAAGGGGAAGAGCCGCCTCGCAGGGCCCCGCGAGGGCAGGCGCCCCCCCAAGCCACGGCACAGCGGGTGCGTGAGAGCACCTCTGTCTCCATGCCGCGGTCGAAGGCCCTCTCCGCGTAGTCGACCAGCACGCTGCCCCACTGCGGGGGCGCCCACTGCGGCAGCGCCTTCAGCCTGAGGGAGCCCAAGATGGAGGTGGGCGCCCGCAGGTAGGTGCGCTCCTTGGCCGGGCGCGCTCTGGTAGCTGCCAGCCGCGAGAGTTGCGGACACAGCTGTGCCCACTGCTCGTTGGGTCTGGAGGGCCCTGCGATCACTGGCGCTCGGGATGTCCAGCCCAGGCGGGAGCCCGAAGGGCCGAGCGGCTCGCGCCCGCCTGCTGATCCTGATACGCGCGGGGTGGACGTCTTCGGCTGCGGCTGCTCTCCATCGCGGCTTCGCTTCACGAAGGCGGGGTTCACCCACGAAGTCCGAGCCCGCATTGATGTCGTCGTTCGAGCCGATGTCTACGGAAGAGGGGCCCTTCCCGAGAACGTCGCGGCGAGGGGTCTTCTCGTGGCGAGCCTGAGATATTGGTATAAACCTTCGTGAGGGAGCATCTCCAGGATTGAGCTCCCAGGGTATCCACCGAAACCTGAACTGGGCCCCAGTGGCAAGCGATATGGCAAACACTTCACGGCAAACGCTGTTCCGGGCAAAGTGAGCGGCTCTTCCTTTTTCACAAGCACACACCGCCCCGAGGTTGTCGCCCAGGACGAGGTGCCGCTGACCATGCAACTGCGTGTTCCGAGCTAGACGCCGCACGGCCCAGCGCGCGCCCTCAGCCTCAAGGATGTGAATCGCAGCCGCACGGCGCCATCGCCTCGCTACCACCACAGCCCAAGGCTCCGCCAGCAGACGCCCTGCGGGCACCTCCTCAAAACGCGCGAGGGCGCCCTCCGCCACCACAGCTGCAGAGGGCGCCCGCAGGAGCTGCTGCTCGACCAGCGTGTCACGTGGCGCGTATTCCGCCGTGAGGACGCCTCGAAAGCGGCTGTGCTCTGAGAGGCCCCCAACACGGCGAACGTCTCCCACGGCCCAGGGCTGCTCCACCACGCCGAAGCCCCACGGCGAGGCATCGGCGGCCGTGACCCGCTCGCACCAGGTGCGGCCCAACGAAGCGGTCACGCAAGGAAGGAGCGCTCGGAAGCATGCAAGCTCGTGCTTCACAGAGCTCCGCAGCGGCTGCCGCTTGTCACGCGAGCGCCTGCAGATCTCATAGATGGCGTGAAGGAGGGGAAGCATCGGCCGCCCTGGCATGACTGCGGACGCGATGTGGCCCATGAGCCTCTCGAGCTCGCGCCCCGTGACCAAGCGCCCGGGCGCCAGCGCAACATCGGGACTAAACTTCAGCCGCCAAAACTTGCTCCTCGACAGCCGCCGCGTCGCCGAAGGTTTGTGCAGCGCGAACCCAAGCAAGGTGTGGAGGCCCCCGTCATCACTGTCAAACGAGGACTGGATACCTTGCCTGTCCAACGCGGCCGACACGTGCTCAACCTCGAGGGCAGGGTCGCCGCCGCCAGAAGTAAAGACCGCGACGTTGTCTACGTGCAGCATCGTGGCCGCGGCGCGCTGGGGGCCGAGCGCAGGCGTAGGCGCCTTGTCGGCAATCCACGGCGCCTCAGGACTGACGCTGCTCAAGATGTGGGCGTGGGCCTCCTTGATCAGATGCGCCGCCCATGGCCAGCCCATGGGAACCACTCTGGCCACCAAGTGCACCGTCTCAGAGACGTCCGCGATGCCCAACCGCCGCCGAGTCTCAGGATGGAGAAAACGCGCCTGCACCGCGGGGGGGGCCCAAGAACAGGCGCGCCCACGGAGGCAGCTCATACTGGTAGAAGCATCAGTACACGTCTGCAGACGCCACCGCGACGCCCTGCGCCGCGTCTACTTCCAGGTTGGCGAGCGCCTCGCCGCTAGCCAGGGGCGCGCGCGGCGGGCCCTGAAAGTGAGCGTTCGACCCCCTGGTGTCGAAGATCAAGCGCAGCGATGCGTTCTTCTTCGGCGCAAAGAAGAGGCCCGCCCGCTCAATGATGCTGCCCTCGCTCACGCGCTCGATGACGCCCGCGGTGAGCAGCTCCGAAAGGCACTCCCCATAGTGGTAGCCATGGCGGTGCAAAGCTGGGCCCATGGCACAGACCCGTGGCGCCTCGCCCAAAGCAAAACTGCGAGCCACAGGCCCTCGTAACATCTGCGGATAATCTGACAGGAAAGACTGCAGGCGCGGAGGCAGCGCGTCACTGAGTCGCACGCGCCCAGCCGCATCCCGCGGGAGCGCCATCGCCCCCTTCGAATCCGTCGTCGTTGCGCCATCGGCCATGGCGCCTGCATAGCCCTTCCGCGAAGCCTGGAGCGTCTGCCGCGCCCCCAGGGGGTCAGGTCAGCTGGCGGCTGCTCAACCCTGCCGCACAGCTTCGCGAGATGCCGAACCGCCGCCGTCTGGCGCGCAGCTGGGGCCCCAGCTGGCGCGCCGAGGCCGCGACCGCCCAAGTCGTTGAGCGCCGCAATCCCCTCGCGAAGCCACACCTCCTGCTGGCGCCGCAGTCGCCCGCGCCGCCCCCCGCCGCGGGGCAGCGGACGGGCTGCCGCGCCACGCAGCAGCTCATCAAGCGACTCGCCGTTTAGAAGAGGCAGGACATCACGCGCCAAAGCCGAGTCCCTGACCCCATGCGCCGAGGCCGCCATGCCCACCGCAGCGGCGGCCCCCCCCTGAAATGGCGCCCGCTGCCCCGGGGACTGCAGCGGCCGCGCGCAAGCCGATGGAGAGGAGGCGGGCTAGCCCCGGCCACGGCCTGGGGGGCCCACGCCACCTCCTCCGCCTCCGTCGCCGCCGCCTGCACCGGCAGCGCTGCTGATCTCACCGCGCGCCAAGCGGCGCTCCTCCCTGCCTTTGCGCCTCTCCTGGAGGATGGCGCTCTCCTCCTGCATCCGTTCGGCGACGTGCTTCTCCAAGGAGGGCGCCACGAGCGCATGGCCCTTGGTCCGCGCGCTGCCCAGGAAGATGCGGCGCTCGTCCAGCCAGCCGTCCGAGTCGGCTGCAGCGCCAGCGGTCCCCGCAACCTCGGCTTGACGAAGGGCCTCAGAGTAGACCTCCTCCCAGAGCTGGAATCGCCTGGCCGCGAGCTCGAACGTCTCGCAGCCCGGGAGGTTGAGCTGGTCTGCGGTCACCGCAGCCAAGAGCTGACACAGGAACAAGTGTTCGTCGACCCCGGGGTCGGCAGCTGCCAACCCCAGGATCTGTCTCCACCAGTAGCGGCGCTGGACAGGCCCGCCGCCTTGCTCCAGGTGGGCCTGAAGCAACCAGCCGACGGTGGCAGGCCCTTCCATGCGCCATTCCTTGGTGCCCATGGCCTCTTGCTGCTCCGCCACGCCCTCCGCGAACGCCCGCCGCCGCTGACCAGTGCCGCTCCTGCGATACTGCACGATCCGCTCGTCCAGCACGGCCGTGGCACCCTCTCGCGGAGACATTGGCAGCTCCTCCAGCATCCCCGCGCGACCCAGGGCGATGACCCCGTCGGGGAAGGTCGCGAGCGCGCGGCCTTCGCTGGCGCGCACGGTGGCGAGAGCCACATCCACCAGCGCACCCCGCGAGAACCCCAAGCGCGACTCCAGCGCGACCCAGCCGCCATCCAACCAGACTGGCAGCAGCGGCGCGCCACCCGGGCCGGAGCGCGGCGGCGGCTGGAGCGCTGGAGGCGCCAGCGTCTGGCCGTCCTCGCGCTCCGCGTCTGAGCCGCCGGGCGTGGCCGCGCCGCCAACCAGCGGGACTGAGAGCGCGGGGGCCTGGGCCTGCTTCCCGCGGAGGCGGCGAGCAGCGGGAAGCTCCGCGCGCCCCCGCTCCGTCAGCTGAGCCCCCTCCGCGGCCAGCGCCTCCAGCGCGACCGAGTCCATGTCGAAGCGGTAGAGCAGCCTCTTGCGCAGGTGTGGCGGGGGCCCACCTCGAGCTCCGCCACGATGGACCTCAGCGTGATCCTCGTCGCTGAGGTCCTCGACATAGACGCCACCGTCAGGCGTCGCCACAGCCCAGAATGACCCGACCACGTGCCCGCACACCAGGCGCTCGTGGTAAAGATTCTCCTCCGGGCTGTACAGGCAGAACACCCGATCCCCCGGCCGCAGCGTCATCTTCATGGGCTCGGGATTGCGCAGGACCACGGCCATGGAGTCGACCAGCCAGGAACCCGCACGCGAAGGACGCCAGCGCTGCAATCCAGCCGATGATCACGACCTCCCAGAACGCCGAGGGGCAGTCTCGGGGCGGCGCACTACGCAGCTGCTCGGGGCCACACCTGTCCAGTTGCCTCTGCAGCAGCGTCACCAGATCCTTGTCGTGCTCGGCGGCGTACGTGCACGTACAGTGACAATCTCGCTGGAACGAGTTCCAGAGGTTGGCTGCGTACAACCCTGTGGTGGCCCAATCTCGCACTTGGTAAATTGCGGGAGCGAGAAGGGCCATCACCAGCGCAGCTCGATCAGAAGCGATGGCTACAGAGCGTGAACAAGCGGGCGCCTGCGTGGAACAAGCCAGCGAGTATGCCGAATATGCACGTTTTAAACGGGAAATGGGCCCATTGTTGCCTCTTGAAGGCCCTCTTGGGGCCCTCACGGGTCCTCTTGGGGCACTCTTGGGCGTCTTCGGAGCCTCTTCAGGCTTTCGTGACCATCTGTACGGCCCGCGTGGCCTGTCGTGGGCAATTTGGAAGCGGCCCTGGGCAGTCCCGGGGGGTCTGTGACCCCCCAAAGGTTCGGGGGGACCCCGTTGGGGGATGACGGCACCGATGTTGCCCCCCCCCCCCGGCCTACTCATATACATACATGCGTGTGTATATATATATATATATATATATATACACACACTAGGTGTGTATGTGTGTATATATATATATTAAAACCATCGCGAGCGCTTCGCGCGCCCTCAAGTTCTAGCTAGGAGAATCGTCATCGTCATCATCGCCATCCTCATCACCATCATATCCGGCGTCATCGTCAGTGGCATCGTCATCATCACCATGACCATCACCATCATCACAATCGTCACCATCACCACCATCAGCAGCAACATCGTCATCACCATCGTCATCATCGCCATCGTGGTCATCATCGTCAATATCGTCACCTGAATTATCAACATAGTAATCCTCATCATCGCCATCGTCATCACTATCGTCGTCGTCGTGATCGTCGTCAGCGTTATCGTCATCATCATCGTCATCATCTTCATCATCCGCCCACTCCTGCATCACAAGCACCAGAAACAGCATCACCACCATTATTATCAGCATCGGAGTTATCATCCTGACCATCAGCAACATCATCATAATGATCGTCAGCATCACCATCCTCAACGACATCACCGTCATCTTCACCATGATCGTCAGCATCACCACCATCATCATCACCACCATCACTCACATCACGATCACCATCATCAACATCATCATCATCATCATCATCAGCATCATCATCATCATTCCCACTGTCAAAATCATCATCATAATATGATTCATCATCATCATCATCATCATCATCATCATCATCATCATCATCATCATCATCATCATCATCATCATCATCGTCGTCAACTTCATAATAGTCGTCATCATCGTCATCATTTTCGTCACCGTCGTCTCCGAAGCTCCCCCGCCGAACTCGAGGATATCTCCGCAGCGTCTTGCATGCCGCGTGAACAGTATTGGGGATTTAGGTTGTGGGCCTGAGGCCGCCCTGCATAATCATGATTGTCATTATCACCAGCGTCTGGAAGCCTTGCGGGGCCCTTTCGGCGCCTTTTGGAGGCCTCTTGGAGCTTCTTGGGGGCCTCTCGAGGCCTCTTGCGGACTCCTGGGGGCCTCTTGGGAGCTTCTGGTGGGCGAGGGCTCGAAATTTCAGTTCGTGTTCCCCTATCTGGGGCTCCTCTTGGTGGGCCGTCTTGGAAGCTTCCTGGGCCGTCTTGGGGCCCTCTTGGGCTGTCTCGGTGGTCTCTTGGGGGCCTCTGGGCTCGTCTTGAGGCGATCTTTCGGGCCTCTTGGGCCGGCTTGGAGCGTCTGGAAGCCGAACTGGGGAGAACGCCAAAACCCTTCAAAACCCACTAAAAATCAACGACAATTTCCCATGGGCCCCTCCCGAGAGTGCTGTCGGAGACCTGCTGGGACGCTTTGGCAGCTTTTTAACAATCTTGGAGTGCTCCCGGGCCGCTTCGGACCTCTCTTGGGCTGTCCTGAGGGCGTCCTGGAGCCATTTTAGAGGGTCCCGGGAGCGTCCTGGCGTCTCCAGCGGGGGGGTGACCACAGCCACTGGGCAAAGTGAGGCCCCCCCCTGGTCCAGGACCCCCTCCCCACTTATATATATATATATATATATATATATATGTGTATATATATACATATACATATACATATACATATATATACATATACATATACATATATATATACATATATATATACACATACATATACATACATACATACACAGACACATACATACATACATACATACATACATACATACATACATACATACATACATACATACATACATACACACATACATACATACATATATACATACATATATACATACATCTATACCTACCTACCTACCTACCTACCTACCTACATACATACATACAACCATAATCTATACATACACACATATATAGACATATAAACATATATATATATATAGATCGATAGATAGATAGATAGATAGATAGATAGATAGATAGATACATACATACGTACGTCGTCCAAGGCGCCTCGGAAGGCGCAGAATACTCCTCCAAGGCGCGGAATCATGTTCCCGGACCGCCTTCCGGGAACATGATGGGGACGACCTCCTGAGGGCCTCCAGTGGGCCTCTTGGGGGCCTCTCGGAGGCCTGTTGGGCTCTCCTGGAGGCGTCTTGGGGCGCGCTCAGGGCCATTTTTGGGCATCTTGGGGGCCTCCGGGGAGGCTCTTGGGGGCCTCTTTGGGGCCTCTTGGGGCCTCGCGGGGCCCTCTTGGGGACCGCTGGGCTCGCTTAGGCAATCTTGAAGCCCTGTCGGGGCTCTCCTGGAACCGTCTTGGGCGGCTCCTGGGCCATCTTGGGGCTCTCCTGGGCCGTCTTGGGACGATTTTGGGGGTCTCTTGGGCCGTCTTGGGGCGGTCTTGGGGGCCTCTTCGGCCGTCTTGGAGCGGTTTTGGGAGACTCTTGGACGGCCTTGGAGCGTCGGAACCTCGAAAAAGCGAGAAGGCCAAAAACCTCGGAAACAAAAATAAAAATCAACGATTTTGGCTTGTCGGGGCTCTCTTGGGAGGCCTCTTGGGATGCCTTCGGGGCCTCATGGAGCTCTCTTGGAACGTCTTCGGGCCTTCCTGGCCATTCCTGAGGCTATCTATGCGCGTCTTGGAGCGCTCGCGGGCCGTCTTGGGCGGTCTCGAACTGTTCCTGGCGGTCCCAGGGGCCCTCCGGGACGCTTCGGACGCTCCCGGGGGCGCCCTGCACCCCCCATGGAGATTACTGGCAGCGCCCCGGGCCGCCCCCGGGCCCTACTCCGATATATATATATATATATATATATATATATATATATATATATATATGCTCATATAGTTATATAGTGTGCGCGATCCCGACATTCCTTATTTGCTTATATATATATATATATATATATATATATATATAGTTGCGCCAAGAGGGCTTCGAAACGCTTGGAGGAAAAAGAAGACAAAAAACTTGGGAACAGCGGGAACGCGTGGAGCATTCGGAAGCCCCTCGGAGCGCCTGGGGGCGCTTGAACGCGCGTGTGGGGGGGCCTGGGAGCATGTGTGAATGCAATGGAACGCATGCGAGCGAGCACGAGCTCGGGCGCCTTCTTGGAGCTCTCCTAGGCCAAGAATCTCCAGGAAGGGAGCAATCAGCTCTGTGCTACGCATCAAAAGAGAAAGGCGTAGCCCGCCTTCCGCACTGCTCGGAGGCGGACGAGCTAATTCTCGTCCGCCGACGCAGTGCAGCTGGCGCTCCTCTGCACGCTCTGGCCATCAGTCGTTCGCTGCTTGACGATCGTCAGAATCGACTCGCTCTGGAGAAAGAGAGAGAGAGAGAGGGGGGAGAGAGACAAATATGCCGAGGGGGAGAGAGAGAGAGAGAGAGAGAAAAAAAAAAAAAAGTGAGAGAGAAAGTATGAGAAAGAGAGAGAGAGAGAGAGAAAAAAAAAAAAAAGACAGGAAGAGAAAGGGAGAGAGCCCCGAGAGCACCTGCGTGCACGAGGCGGGCTAAGGAACAACAGTGGAAGGACCGAAGGAACATCTGGCCCCTTCCGCACTCAAACTGGTCCTCGTTTCAACGCCTTGACTGAATCCGTCGAGGTGTTTATGCTCTTCCCGGCAGCGTTCCCTGAACTCTCGGCCTCCGGGGCCCGGCATCGGCCACCGCGGCCCTCGGCGACGAGTCCGGGGCGGAGAGCTGACCCCGGAGGAGCGGTCGGACCCCCTGAGGCCGCGGTATGCGCTCTGCCGCGCCCGAACAAAAAAGACTCATTCGCGCCGGCACGTGCGTCCAGACACGTTGAGAGGGAGGGTAATCGAATCGGCCGAGTTGCGGGCGGCAGTAATTGCGTGGACGAGACCAGCGCGCTGCGAGACTACGGCAGGTTCGTGTCGTGACGACCAAGGCGTTGGATCGCTCACCCTTGACCGATCGGCGGCTTTTCGATCACCAAATCGTTCCATATCGACCGAGGCGTTCAACGTTTCACACCCGCGGCGAAGTCGCCGCGCGTCGGCACGACGCGAACGTGACGCACTGCAGCAATAGTCGCTGCGGCACCGTGCGAGGCCTCTTCAGGGTCGGAAATCCTGGATGAGTTCTTCCAGGCCTTTGTCCACTTGATGGCAGTGGACGGGATGACGCAGGGATGGAGGACTTCATTTTATCCCAACTGCGCGTTGCAGTCCAGTAGGTAAGGCTACGGTGCTGGCTGGTCACGTCGGGCGCGCGGACCGATGAGCCAGACGGCGCGACATGAACACTGTGCTCGATATGCTTTGTCAGTCACCAGGCAAGTCCCCTGCAGGGGGAACAGTGACAAACACGTAGATGCTGGAGTGTGAGAACTATGCTGACTGTATGTTGTGGTGCCAGAGTAAATCCCGTTCGAAATGGCGGCATTCTCCCAAAAG